GGACATCTTCATCCTGTTCAAAAGTTTTCACCCCTCTTAATGCATCGTGTTTCCTTCAGGAGCATCAGTGAATGTTTGAAGCTGTTTTAATAGTTGTGTTTGAGTCTCTCAGTTGTCCTCAGTGTGAAAAGATGGATCTCAAAATCATACAGTCACTGCTGGAAAGGATTCAAATACACAAGAATGCTGGAAAACCAATAATCTGCAGGAGCTGGAGGATTTTTCTGAAGAACAGCAGGCAGTTTAACTGTTCAGAACAAACAAGGGACTCATGAACAACCATCACAAAATCTAATCATCCAGGTAGCCACACACAGTATTAAGAACCAAGGGTTCCCAAACTTTTGAAGGGGGTTATTTTAACAATTTCAGAAATTTTTTTTGTCTTGTGGACTATATATAAACATATCTTATGTAAAATATCTTACTCAAAAAAGAAGTACTAAATAAAAATAACATGCATTTTGTATGATCTCTCTTTTTTTGTTATAATTATTAACATTTTCACAGATTCTGCAAGGGGTTCACAAATTTTCACATGCCACTGTACGTATGTACTGTAGTAATAGCAGTAAATTACACATAATTACAAGCAACTAACCCTAAACCTAACCCGGTAGCACTTTATTTTACAGTCCTGTCACTCATGTAAATACTAAGTACTTATTATAGTAATTACATGTAATAACTAGGTACTAACCCTGAACCTACCCCATGTAGTTACCTTGTATTACCAGTACGTCCTTAGGTAGGTACACTGTAAGTACACATACTGTAAAATAAAGTGCAACCCCTAAGCCTATAGTAAGTACATTTTGTTAATTAATATTACACAGTACTTAACTGTATAATTACACTGTAGCAAAGACAAAAAGTTACAATAAAGCCAATAAATAACCATAACCAATGAGAGTACAGTGCAGCTTTGTGTTGTATTGTGTTGTCTGATAAGGTTAGCAAGAGCCGCAATTCAAAAATGATACTTGCTGCAAGTGAGGACATCAGAAATGATGGCATATGGGTAGTGCAGGATGTACCTGATGACGAAGTCTGCACTGTCAATCTCTCTTCCACAACTGCTGTTCTTCAGAATCCCCCCATTGCCCACCACAGCGCATCGGCCCAGATGACCACGGCTACTCCAGGGAAAGTCCTGAAACAAGAAAGAACAAACTATCATAGTTACATAGTGATAGTACCTGTCACAGTTAACAAAATAACACAAGTTAATGAATGAACATGAACTATGAATAGAATATTCATGAACGAATATTAACCTAGATTAATAAGTGCTGTAAAAATTGCTAGTTCATTATACCTAACACCGTGTCCACACCGTACGCGCCACGACAATACGACAGAATCAATCGAATATCACAGCCATTCTGAAGTGAGAAGAGCACTGCATGGACAAGTTTATAATCTAATTTATCTAATTAATGAATATTAAACCTTTTTAGCATTATTCAAAGTTCAAACTGAGTGATCGTGTAATGACAAAGATGGCATCCAGTGTCTTCATTGTCATCTTGCATTGAGTTCACAGTTGGAATGTACATGTTTGCTTTAATTTAGCCAATTTCCATGATCAGAGGTAAACTATCTGTTGTTGCTTTCTGTATGACTATAAATGTCATGCAATACGATATTCAAACTCACATTATACACTTTTAACATTGAATAAAGCATTGTCATAGTTTGTATGTTGTTGTTCCTGTCGTGACGTCGCAGAAATAGAAACAGTTTCTTAGGGCAAATCTCAGATTAACATGGAAAAGATCAATTTTATCATGTGTCGGAGCGAATGTAGTTAGGACACAATGTTATAGGCCTACTAATTAAGTGTTACTTAAATTGACAGTAAGTTCTGTCCCATCTTATAAGAAAATCAATGAGTCTGGTGGAAAGGACAGACCTCAGGCAGCATTTTGTGAAGTGCAGCTCCCACTTTGTACACCCTATTTGAGGTCTCATATGTAATACTTTGATTCACAGCTGTGTTCTTCTTTGTCAGGTATAATAAATCTGTGGCATTACAACAGAAACGCAGTCTTAATCTAAGGGGAGAGAGAGAAAATATTTAGTTTGCATAATTACTTTCTTAAAGCTTTAAAGGAACACTCCACTATTTTTGAAAATAGGCTCATTTTCCATCTCCCCTAGAGTTAAACAGTTGAGTTTTACCGTTTTCGAATCCATTCAGGCGATCTCCGGGTCTGGCGGTAGCACTTTTAGCTGTAGCTTAGCATAGATCATTAAATCTGATTAGACCGTTAGCATCTCGCTCAAAAATGACCAAAGAGTTTCTATATTTTTCCTATTTAAAACTG